TGTTTCTATGCTGAGGAACATTCTCCATAATAATGATGTAAAACTTTTAAATGAGGATTTAAACGTTATATGTCAGGTTCATAAACAGCAGAATAAGATTTTAAACAGGCCAATAAGACGATGTGTACCTGCAGCATGTTTACATCTGTAGTTACTGTATGAAAGAAAGTCGCCCTGCATTGATTTTAACATGAAACCAAACACACAGGTGTTAGCAGCTCAACCTGTCAGTGTGTGAGTGTGTCAGTGTGTGAGTGTGTGTGCAACAGTGTGTTGTGTGAGTGTGTGTGCAACATGTTGTGTGAGTGTGTCAGTGTGTGTGTGCAACATGTTGTGTGAGTGTGTCAGTGTGTGAGTGTGTGCAGCGTGTTGTATGTTGTAAAACTAAACTAACAAAATCAAACTACAACAAAACATGATGCCGTGAGAAGCTATGGTGACGGTGTGACGCTGAGAGAGAGAATGAGAGGATGACTGCCCGATCTTTAAGAGTCTCCACCCGGGACACAGACACACACACCACACACACCACACACACACACACACACACACACACACACACACACACACACAGAAGGGAAAAAACACTGCAGCAGGCAGGAGGGCCGTCATGATCACCAATTATCTTCAATCATTATCATCATTATCGTCTTATTTCAATGTCTGACTAACTACACAACATGTAGCTAGTATGCTAAGCTGACCTTTAAGTGTGATGATAAAGCCTCTGTTCCTCTGGTCTCTAATGATAAAATAAATATCACTCATCCCTCATCTTATCAGCTGACAGGAAGTTCTTTAGTATTTCTTCTAGAAATGTTCAACTTTCTTCTGAATTCAAAATGCTGCTTTACTTGTTAATTATTTAGAATGAAAGTGTATCACAATATTACCTTTTGGTTTCTCTGCACACTTTGGGAGAATAGATCACTTTCATCACATTATGTTACATTTTCCTCCGCTTACAAACGAGCCTCATCTCCCTCCCTCCCTTCAGTCATTTTATTTGATTTTTAATGAGTTTGTTTTTGTTTTCATCTCTTCCTTCTCTTCTTTTTCATTTCTGACTTCAAGGTCATTTTGTTTTGTCTGTCATCCGGCACCATAACTTTTCTCTTTATCTCGTAATATTCCTGCCAACAATTTTTTCAGTCCCAAATTGAGACGTACACCCCGATCCTCCCGAGGTATCTGTAAAAGCTCGGGGGGGGATTTTCTCGTCTTCACACAATTTACGAGGTGTTTCTTTTCTTCTTATCTCCGTGTGAATTGAAATATATTGCTGCTTTATCGTCTGTTGGATGGAGAGTCAGCGGGATGCTTTAAGGGAGAGCAGCACATTTCCCCATGACACTGAAAGATAAGGACGGCTCGTCTGGACCTCTTTTTGGTTCACGTCCTTTGTGCCACGAGCCAAACAAACTTTTGAAGGAATTTTCTTTTTTTTTTATTTTAAAACATCACCTTTCCTTCAGTGATCACTTCTTTTTAACATTTACAGGCTGTTTATTTTAACTGCCTGTGTGTCTTCTTAAAAATCATATAGTTGGTTTTCTCTTCTGTCTTATTTCAGTTGCTCCATCTTCATTTTTTATCTTCACCTGCATGTTGACTCCTTCTCTTCTCACTCCCTTTCCTCCTTCTCTTCTCACTCCCTCCATTTTGCTTTTTCTTCTCCCAGTTCTCCATCCTCTCTCCCACTGTTCCTCCTCATTATTTAATCCTTTTTGTATCTCCACCTTCACACTGTCCCTCCTCGCCCTGCTGTAATAACACACCTCCCATCTGAGCACACACACTTCGTCATGCATGCAATCACACACATGCACAAGCACTCCATTCCCGTCCCATGGAAGCAATCTCAGCCTCTTTAAGCATTTGTTGTGGGTTTAATATCCACCGCACACTCCCGGGATGAAACACACAAACACACACTCTCACAACATACTCACATGAAGAGGCAATCTGAACACGCCCGCTCTCTCTCTCGTCCATATGAACTGAGCTGGTCATTGTGACTCATCGCTCCTTCACATGCCATCAGTAACCTCTCCCACTGGATACACACACACACACACACACACACACACACACACATGAACTCAGAGATACACACTGGACTCACTCAACAGTCAGTAGCTTAGCCGCCATTTACAGAACAATTGTGCTGATGAGCATCAAACCCGTGACCCTTCATGTAGCACCACAGGCGGGTCAAGCTGCCGCTTCTCCTCTGAATCATTTTAACATCTGCTCCATGGAAAAGCATCTCTGTGATCCCGACCTTTTCTGCTCGTCCAGTGTGTTTTCTGCCAACAACTCTACGTATTACATCTTCAAGTTTACGATCCTGACACATTATGGGGTCCAGTGATGTCATAGGAACAAGAAAGAACTGGTAGGCGGGGCCTGGGAGTAGGCTACATAACATGCTAAGGCTAAAATACAGAAAAAACATATTGAGATAAACAAAGGGTCTTAATGACTTAAAGGTTAAAAG